TGTAGTATCATTAGAGATTTATAAGTCTTGAGATGGTTCAATGGATCTTTGGTTCCATCAAACACCTCCATGGTTGGCATTTTGAACCTCTCCAGGAGCGGTAATTTGCCACATCTTGCGGGAACGGTGACTTGGCATGTTGAACCAAAGCCACAATAACCTCTGGAACTCTATCTTTCACCATATTTTTGACGTTTCTTATCTTTTCATTTACTTCTCAGAACTTTCGCTCCCATCGATCATCATTCTGGGGACGGGAATAGTAAACAAAATTACAATATTAGTAAAAAATTTACAACAATAATAGACAAAATTATAACATCAATGGAAAAATTATAACATTAATGAAAAATTTACAATATCAACTAAGAATTTACAACAATAGTTGACTCAATGGATGCAACTTATTAACAAAAGGGGTATCACATTTGGAGGAAGAGTTATCATAATTGTGGATTAGTTACCACAATTAAGGGTATGTATATCACTATTGAGGGCGAGGTTACCAAAATTGTGGACAAAGTTAGTAGTTTAAAGAGTAACTTAATGAGACAAAAAATGTAAAAAAAAAAATTACAATATTAGTGAAAAAATTTATAACATCAGTGAAAAATTTACATCATCATTAGGAAATTTACAATAGTAATGAACAAAATTACCATAGTAATGGACAAAATTACAATATCAGTAAAAAATGTCTTGGGCAACATAACTTTTCTCTACTACTATATTAGTTAAAATTACGATTAATTAAAATTACAACATATTTTTTTTTAAAATTAAACCTCGACAATATGAGGATAAATATTATTAATATCAAATCAAAATTATAAGAAACTAGGGGGACATTTAAACCTTACTGCTTTAAAATATTATAAGACCCATAAATCCATAATTCCATTTAAAAATAAGGGAAAATGGCTGCGGCTTTTGAGAAAGTCTCCATGCATTCTTGTCCCCATGCATCCATAAATCCATAAATTCGTGGGTCCCTTTTAATGACTAAAGATGTATTTGTTAATTCAAATTCAACACTTAAAATAAATGTATTTGACACTTATTAATTAAGTTCGTTTGATAACTAAAATTTTAACTCTTTTAATGTGTTAAGTGCTCATTTAAAAGATGCTACAATATTAAGTAGGAGATTCCTTACTTAATTCTAGCACAAATTGCACACACACATACATACATATATTATTAAAGAGATTTAATTTATTCAATTTTTTTAATTCGATTATTTATTAGTTATTATTTTTTTTAATCAGATATTATTGTTCACTTCTCGTATAATTTATTTTGTTATTGTTCATTTATTATGATTCGACTATTTATTTGTCGTTATTCTTTTTTTTTTTGATCAGATGTTATTATTCAGTTATTATGTTATTCAATTTATTATTGATTTGATATATTGTTATTTTTTATTAGATAAAAATATATTTTATAAATATTTTTAAATTAAAGAGTGGAATGGTAAAACTAAAAATTAATTTATTTTCAGACGTCAGTTCTGTGTAGTTATCAAACAGTTTGATTTAATTCAGCACTTAAATTTTAGTGGATACCAAACAGTCCACAAATTCAGTATTTAGCTTTTAAATATTAACTTTCAGACTTCAACTTTCAATTTTATCAAATACCACAAAAATTTCACGATATGATTGGCCCACCACTTGATTCTCGAAATCCAAAACAAGTCACGAAGTTATTAACAAACTCAATTTAAATTTAAATAATACACCCCCCTTTTCTTGAATTTTCTATTCTCTTATCTCTCTATCTCTATCTCTCTCTCTCTCTCTCTGAAACTCTCTATTCTCTCTCAGCCACTCATAGATCGACGAAGAAGAAGAGGCTCCCCGCCTGATTCCTCAAGATCTCCTCTATCGAGCTCTCCCTTGCTGTGAAGGTAAGTTTAATCCCTTTACTTGTATAAATATACGTATATATATAAATAGATCTGTATATATATGTATAGATCTACATAGATCTGTACATCACAGCCTCTAATCGTATTTTTTTTGTTTGATCTGTATTTTTTTACCACAATATACATAGATCTGTACATTACAGTCCCTAATCGTATTTTTTTTTTTTTGATCTGTATTTTTTTCACCACAATATACATAGATCTGTACATCACAACCCCTAATCGTATTTTTCTTGTTTGATCTTTCTTTTTTTAACCACAATATATATTCTCAGGATAAAATCATGGGTTTGGCCCCTAATCGTATTTTTTTTTAATCTGTATTTTTTTTACCACAATATATATAGATCTGTACATCACAGCCCCTGATCGTATTTTTTTTATTTGATTTGTATTTTTTTTCACACAATATACATAGATCTGTACATCACCGTCCCTAATCGTGTTTTTTTTTTATCTTTATTTTTTTCGCCACAATATACAAAGATCTGTACATCACAGCCTCTAATCATATTTTTTTTTGTTTGATCTGTATTTTTTTTGCCACAATATACATAGATCTATACATCACAACCCCTAATTGTATTTTTTTTGATATATATATATATATATTTTGTTTAATTTGTATTTTTTTTACCACAATATACATAGATCTGTACATCACAGCCCCTAATCATATTTTTTTTTGTTTGATCTGTATTTTTTTACTATAATATACATAGATCTGTACATCACAGCCCCTAATCGTATTTTGTTTTTTGATATGTATTTTTTTTACCACAATGTACATAGATCTGTACATCATAGATTCTAATCGTATTTTTTTCGTTTGATTTGTATTTTTTTCACCACAATATACATAGATCTGTATATCACAACCCTTAATCGTATTTTTTTTGTTTGATGTGTATTTTTTTCACCCCCATATACATTCCCAGGATAAAATCATGGGTTTGGCCCCAAAGAATACTGCTTGCACTTAAGTCCTCTTAACATTTGAAGTGGTTCTGGCCAGCCAAACGACCCTTAGTTTTAGACCCTATGAAATATTAATGCAAGATTTGTAAAAATTTTAAAGGGAGAATTATACGTAGATCCATTGAGATTTGTCACTCAATCATTCAGACCTCTTAACATTTAAAATATTACAAACCGACTCCCTGATGTTTGTACGCGTGCAACACTTAGACCCCCTGAAGTTTGTAGGCATATAATACTTAGACCCTTTAAGTTTAAAATATTAAATTTAGATAAAAAAATACTCCAATCAAATATAGAATATCAAATATTTTAAATTTTACAATAAAAATTCATGTTCTATTGTATCATTTATTTAAATAAAATTGAAATAAAAAATTTAATTTTTTCTTAAAAAATCGTAATTAGTATACAATTATACTATCTATTGGAATAAAACAAAAAAATCAAATAAAGGGTCTAAGTCATTTATAATAGAACATAAATTTTACATCCAAAGAGATGGCCCAACCCAAGAGATGCATGACCTTATCTACCCAAGTTCTTAACCACACCTACTTCATATACTTCTCATACTTGATCAAATATTATTATCAATCTTTTGAGAACTTTTACGTACACTCAGTATTATCGTCACAATATTTTAATGTTTCAATATTACCACGAAAGAATCAAGCAAGAAGTCTTGCAAAACTCTTGTTTTCATTCTTGTATAAAATATCCTCTATTTAAATCCACTAAGTAGCATTAAATCCTATGACAAACCTCAAGTCGTCGTGATTTGGTGGACACCGCAAGATTGTCAATAGTGATAATTTTCAAACTAACACCTAGTTATCCAAGAAATTGATTTTTACTTCTCAATTGTACTTTTCATCTTCATCCGTGTAACCATAACCAAATGGTTTACCTCAATAATATAAATCTAACCAAATGTTTTCGGTCCACATTCTGATATTAATTATAATTTTTCAATTCACTTTTTCAATCCATTATAATCAGAACTAACAATCAATAAAAATTCTCATGAGTTTCCTCTCATAAGTACAAGATGCATGCAGAACTCTCGATTAATACTTTTAGAACTATCATAATATCTCCCCATTTTTAACCAATTCGATCTACCCTATATATTTCTTCAGCTTCTCAATAAGATTTATTGCCAAACATTGTTTTCATGTGTTAGGCCGTCGCCTAATGCCTAGTTCAATTTAAAAGTCATTATTGTCTCCTAAGAGTTAGATGTACAATGCAGTTATATTAACAAGAAAGTGTCTCAAGTAATAACCCATAACAAAATATTATAGCTTCCTTACGTCCAAGATTACTACAACACATTTTATGAAACTCTTAAGTCCCCAAGATTCAATCCAACATTTTAATATTTCTTGAACTATAAAATATAACAAATATAAATTTATATTCCTAAGGGTCCAAATAATTCTTCAATTTCACACCACTAATCACCATAACCTTAAAAATTTCTCATGATCCACGAGATGATAGCCATTCACCAGCTAATAGAGTAATCTCGTACTTTGATTGAAATTTAATTAACCATTCGTCTGATAATATCAAAACCATCATGTGTAATTTTTTATATTGATCTACCATATTAAATCCTTTTAACATCACAACCAACTGCAAAGATTTCTTTTTAAAAATCTATGATCTTTAATACCAACAATTCTCAACTCCGGCCTATCAAACCTAATGATGGATTGAAAAGATCTAGAGATAAACTTCCACATTATTTTATAAACATTCTTAATGTAGTATATATATATATTACGGAATCTTACATATATTTACAACAGGGGTCTAAGAGTTATGCTCGTATAAATCTCAGGGGGTCTGTGTATAATATTTCAAATGTAAGGAGTCTGAGTGATTAAGTGACAAACCTCAGACGGTCTAGGTGTAATTCTTCCAATTTTAAATTATATTATTAGGCTACATGGTATTTTTGAAATTATATTATTGAAAGTTAGGTAAAATAGTTAATTAAAATAGAGGTAGTGGTTGAAGTGAATTTAAAAAAGTGACTATGTAAAATAGAGAATACAATATTTAAATATATTTTGACTAGTCATTTTGTTGCGCAGGGTTAGAGTTGCTCTTAGGAAGGATTACTGTAGTAGGTACAATAGAATTCGTGTCGAAAATGAGTAGCAGTGGTGGCAAGAGTGGAGGAAGAGCCAGTTCCAGCGGTGGACGTGTTATATGTCATGATCATCATGGGAAAGTAAAAGGGAAGACTGTGTGTCATCCTAAGCATGAGCATAAGCATGAGCATAAACATGAGCATAAACATGTTGATGTTAATGTTAATGTTAATGTTCATATACATAAACATGAGCATAAACACGAGCACAAACATGAACATGGGTATAAACATGAGCATGAGACGACGTGCCCAAAGTCAACTTATGGTGGTGGTGGTGGTGGTGGTGGTGGGGGTGGTGGAGGTGGAAATATATCTTGGGAGCAGTATCTTACATCTGGAGTTGCAATTAATTGGAATAATGCTGATGCTAGATATCATGCTAATCGACTTGGTATCCCAATACCAGGAGGATCGTCTTCCAGTGGTGGTGGTGGACGGTGGTGTTATAATGCATGTGGACAACAGGTATGGATTCCGTAAGCTTGCCTTGCTTACTGGGATTTATCTTGCCAAACGGACGAACCCCTCCTCTGTCTCTCTCTGTTTCTCTTTCTCTCCACTCCTTCTTTGTCCCTTTCTTCTCTTCTTCTTGTTTTCTATTTTGATGTCTTTACTTCTGTATTATCTTTTTTTTAGGGTTCGTGTGGTCTGATCGGGAGGAGATGTTGTAATTGCTATATTTATGTGTAGTGTCTTATGTAATCTTGAAGGGTATATTTGGATTATCAATAAATTGCTATAATATGGTCTTCCTATAAAATACATATTCAGGAATGGAATTAAAATTTAATTTAATTTCAATTTAAAATACATATTCATCACTGCCACCAATAGTAAACTATTCTATACCTTTATAATAATATCAGGAAACAACTAAAACAATAAACCATTACAAAAAGACTACTGCATGGGCTCTAAGCTTCACATTGCCGAACTTCTATCAGATTTTCGAAGCCTAAAATCCAGATTTATAACTCGACCAGGAACATTGCTTCACCATAAAAAAGAAAACACAACCTTATACCTAGCACAACTATGAATGTTCCTTTCAAAATTTATATTGTTGGGTTCATTTATAGATGGCCATAAATGGATCTTAGAGCAACTTACCCATATGCATCTACAATTTCTTGAAAAGCGAATATGACTTTGCTCGTGCAAACTGATAGCCAATGGTCTGCAGCAAATTGCCACGGTGAACCAATCCTACATCAATGGTAAGTCTTCAACTCTGAAAGTTTTCCAGATACCTACATAATTAAGACAATAAACACATCACTGTACCCATCAATCTATTCAATCAGACTGCTGGCAGTTAAAACCTAAGCTGACTGCAGACCATTGGCTAGTTACACATTTCACCTTACAAAACCCATGTGAAAAAAATGCAGAAATTCACAAAAAAGGCACAAAAACTCAATATAGAAAACTTGCTAACAAAGAAAGCAAGAACCAAGAACAGAGCATATAAGTAAAGCTAAGAGAAATGGAGCACTAAAGTAAAAAAATTATAAAATTCAAATAAAATATAGGCTGAAATGAAGAGTAGGAGAAAAACTTGTCTCATAGATTCCACATATTTAAACAAGCTGGCTGCAGATTTAGCACATAAATTCAACATATTCATTATCAACAATTTAGCAAAAGAAGAGGGAATTAGAAAATTGGGGAGAGAGAGATGGAGAGGGGGACACTGAAGGAGCACCAAAACACCTGCAAATATATAGACAGAGCACCAACTGATATGGTCACTATAGTAGTCATGCTTAAGCAATAACCTCGTTAATGAACATGACCACCTCAGGAGTGTGAAGTTGCGAATCTTCTCAGTCTAAAAGTTCAATTAAAATCCAACATTCATGGAACTGCTGCCTTTTATCCGAAGGCAGCACATAATATATTGACTCATTAGATGTCCAGCTTAATCTAAAATATGCGCTAAAAATGAATAACAAATTTAAATGACATGGTGAGCATTAAAGGATAGAATTTTTTTTGGATTATAAATGTGAAATATTTAAACTTTGAGGGGTGCAATTTATAATTAACCCAAACATTTTTAACGGTAACATAGATGACAGTTAATTTTATGTGCACATTGATATATATTTTTATCTTTCAGGGTATAAATTAATATTTTTAAATTTTGATGGTGTAAATTAAAATTCGAATGATCTTTCGGGGTGTAAGTTGAGATTAACCCTTTTTATTATGGTGACAAACAAAAAAGTTTGATAAAGGTTTGTTTGCGAGGAGATCTGAATTGGGCGATTAGGAAGGCATGTTTTTTGTGACAGCATGAAGGCTGGAGGTATATTATTTTTGAAAGTGACTCAAAATCTCTCATTGATTCTTTGGTGATTGGGCTTGCTAAATCTTTGAGGGAAGTCGACCCAATTCCGAGAGATATCTGGAATGTATCGTCACAACTTAGTTCAGCTAATTTCCTTTTTGTCAATAGATCTGCTAATCATTTAGCTCACTTGGTTGCTCATCTAACCAATTGTGGGTTTCTTCCTGTTGATTGGTTTTTGAATCCTCCACTTCAAGTGCAGCAACTGATCCAGCAAGAAGCTCGCGAAGGCATATGATAGTTCACTGTGTTGAACAATCTAAAGAAATACAAGAGATAAGAAAAGAGGAGGTTAAGATTTATTGATACTGCATAATTCAATTGAATACTAGGAAGTAATTTAACCTAATTACAAAGAGACTATATATAAGCTAAATAAGACAAGGAAAGTAAAGGACTATTTTACCCTTAATAAACAAAATAACCCTGTATTTCTTAACATCTCCCCTCAAACTCACGATGCACTAGCGACAAGCATCGAGAGGTTGTCAACTAGAAAACGAAAACGAAAACGAAAAATAGAATGCGACTTGGTAAAGAAATCTGCAATCTGCAAAGAAGAAGAAACAAAGGGCAAAGTAATAATGTCATGCTTGAAATGATGACGAGTAAGGTGACAATTGATCTCAATGTGCTTAGTTCGTTCATGAAAAATCGAGTTGTGAGCAATCTGAATAGAACTCCGGTTGTCACAATACATAGGAGTGGGATGAGAAAGAGAAACTCCTATATCTGCAAGTAACCAACGTAACCAAACAATCTCTTTGGTAGTAGATTACATAGCACGATGTTTTGCTTCGGTTGAAGATTAAGAAACAATAGATTGTTTCTTGCTCTTCCAAGAAATAAGAGAATCACCCAAAAAGATATAAAAACCAGTAACAAATTTGCGATCTGTGGGATCACTGACATGATCAACATCAGAGTATGCACACAGCTCCAAGGAAGAGGTGGATGAAAGTAAAAGATTCTGAAATACTATATCCCGAAGATACCTTAAAATACGAAGAACCGCTGCCTAATGAACTGTAGTAGGAGAAGCAACAAACTGATTAACAACATGAACAATATATGCAATATCTGGACGAATAATAGTGAGATATACCAAGCTCCCAACAATAGTACAGTATAAAGTAGGATCTAACAAGGTAAACCTTCAGAATTAGAATACTTTGCGTTAATCTCAATGGGACTATCTACAGTCTTAATATAAGTAAGTCTAGCTCGCTCAAGAATGTCTGTAACATATTTCGACTAAGAAATAAGATAACCTCTGGGTGAGCAGGCTACCTCAATACCCAAGAAATATCGTAGAGAACTCAAATCCTTCATTTCAAACTGTCTAACTAACGTTTTATAAGTGATGCGACAAATGCCAACGGTTGGGTAGTGTGACCCAAAAAAAAATGATGCCCCTTTCACCAATACTTGTCATAGAAATATTCGATTGTTGGGGCATCGACTTCATGGGTCATTTCCTTATGTTATTTGATTATTTGTACATCCTCTTGGCAGTGGACTATGTGTCCAAATAGGTGGAGGTTATTCTGACCAACACTAATGACCACCGGGTCGTAGTCAAGTTTTTCAAGGAGAACATTTTTTTGAGGTTTGGGATGCCTCGTTCAATAATAAGTGATGATGGATCATATTTCTGTAATAGGCGTCACTCACAAAGTATTCACTGCCTATCACCCACAAACAAATGGCTAAGCCGAGCTAGCCAATAGGGAGATCAAGAACATTCTAGAAAAATGATTAACCAAAATCGAAAGGATTGGTCCAACAGATTGATCGATGCCCTCAGGGCATACCGCACTGCCTTTAAAACTATTTTGGGCATGTCTCCCTACCGGCTTGTCTATGAAAAAGCTTGCCACTTGCCAGTCGAAATGGAACATAAGCCCTATTGGGCCATTAAGACTTTAAATTTTAATTTGAGAAAGACCGGTAATCGTAGGAAGTTAGAGCTGAATGAGTTGGAAGAGATTCGACGAGATGCGTATGAGAGCTCTAAAATCTCAAAAGAAAGGGTCAAAATCTTTCATGATAACTCCATCGTGAAGAAATCATTTGAGCCCGGGCAAAAAGTACTCTTATACAATTGTCGCCTCTCCATTTTTCAAGGCAAACTCCGATCTCGTTCAGATGGCCCCTATCTTGTCAAGGTGGCCTACCCCAATGGAGCTGTGGATGTCCAAAACCTCGAAAATGGCCAGACATTCAAGGTCAATGGCCAAAGACTTAACCTATTTTTTGGGGGCTTTGAAGAACATGTGGTGAAGGAGAATTTGATGGATCCGACATACCCAGAAGTTGTGGAGGAATAATTAGTTTTTTTTTTTCTGCTTTTCAATGTACAGGCTTTTATTTACTTACTTTATTTTTATTCCATGTTAATTATTTTCTTTTGTCGTATAATTTTGTTCTTTTTAGTCGCAGATATTGGTATTTTTGTCAAAGCTAAAGTGCGAAGTATTCTTTAACCCTATTAATCTTTTTACTGTCCGTCATTGAATATCATACCTTTTTTGTTTCATTGAGGACAATGCATGAATCAAGTTGGGGGGTGAGGTTGCACTATTTGTATCTTACACCAATATTTGTGGGAATATTCCGCGCAGATATTTGCGTCTACCGACACTTGCGCTTGCCGACACTAAAAAAAAAAAAAATCAAGTGAGAATATTCTGCGCGGATATGCGACTGCCGACACTCAAAAAAATAAATAAATAAATAAAAAATGGGATGCCTTTATAAAGCTTTCGAATTTTTTCTTTTTTCTCTCATCCACCGGTGATTGGTCTCCCTTTCTTCTTCCCTTTTTCTTCTCTTTTTTTTTTCTACTTTCTTCCTCTTTTCTTCTTCTTCGTCGTTCTATCTATTTTCTGTAAAAACAACCAATCCCTTGCAAATTCATGACCATATACGCTGACGACCTAGTCCTTTGTTTAATAATTTGCCTTATATGTTTATATTTGTTCATGAGTGCTCTTTTTCTGCTCGCACTTAGGGTGAGAGGTTCTAGCCTAACTCAAATCTCCCTCGAGTTGATTAATTGTTGTGTTTTGTTTGTTGGTTTTGGCAGCTAAACAGATCTCTACACCCACCACTTTTTTCTCTTTCTTCGTCTTCTTCTTCTTCTTCTTATTTCTGTTGTGCTATTATCTATAACACGATCCAACTCCCAATAGTCCCATGACCATATTCCTTGAAGACCTAGTCGTTTGTCTCATGATTGACATTTGTTTACTCTATTTGTACATGACTCTTCTTCTTCTGTTTGCATTTAAAATCAAGGGTTTTCGTCCTAGCGAAAACCCAGATCTGCGTAGAGAAGATTAATTTTTGTATTTTCTTTATAGATTTCGACAGTTGAACAGATTTCTACCCTACAACTTGATCTCCAAACTCCACACACTGGTAAATTCAAAATAT